GCTCTATGAGGAGAGTTCAAGAGGCAAAGGTTCCCGTGCAGGTAGCTTCATGGGAGGCAAGCCAAGGAAATCCCAGAGGGGGGTGAGAAGTGAAGCAAGGAAGAGCAAGAGCGGAGGAGGGTGGCAAAGGGCATGATGATGATGGTTGCTGCCGGGGGGCAACCACAACTAGATCAAACTGGGGATCTAGCCAGTTGGATTCCCGTTTGAGGATCTAGCCAGGGTAGCGGCCTGGAACATGCACTTCAGAGCCATCTCATCCCAGGGCAGGGAGTGGAGCTGTTTATGTACCTGCTCCTGGTGGTGTTGGCTCCTAGCCTGCCCTGTGTGTGGGCAGAGCATGGTGTAATGGCCAGAGAGCTTTCAGGCAGAGATGTTGATGTGGCTGTTAGAATCAAGGCGAAGACCCTGAAATGGTGAGGGCTGGGGATGGGAGGGCAGCGCTGAGCTTCCCAGTTCAGCATGGAGTGGCCGTTTCTTCCCTCAGTCCCAGTGTGCTACAGGAACCTGCACTGCCCTGGCCCTGAATGTCCTCAGGGCATGTGCTGGTCATGGGGGTAGAGGTTGTTTGAAGATTTGGCCAGGAAATATAGCTTGGAAAAGTGACCAGGAAATCATCTACCCAGATTTGGAGAAGCAAATCTGCCAGCCCTCTCAACTTTCCAACCCTGTACACCCGAACTCAGTTCTCACCAACCAGACCAGCCTTCTCACTGATCTTTGTGCCCTGGGCTCTTGTCAGTCCCCCTCTGTGGATACCCTCCCTATTGCCTGCCTCGCTTCACTACAGGCTCACTTTGTGAGCAGGGTCTGGCACAAGAGAGACCTCTGTGCCCCCTGCCTGCTGGGCCTCACATTTCCTGTATGACTGAGACAGGAAGCCCTTTTGGAGCTTCTCATGCTAAGCCTGATGGATAGTGACTGGATTAGGAAAGATTCTGTGGCTGTTCCTGGATGCAGTGGGGAAGAGTTCTGCTCTAGATTATTGAAATCTGCCACAGGCACAGGTGGATGGAAGAGGCCTACACAGTCTGCATGCTTGCCTTCCCTGCACAAAGTGATCTCTAATGAGTCTCTTGATGTTCTTGCTTGCTCAAGACGGCCCTGTCCCTTAAATATCTGCTTTTGGCTCTGAACTTCAGGGCAGTTTGTATGTTTTATTATCAAATGGGATCATTGGGTCTGGAGAACGGGTACTGGAATATGATGACACCCAGTCAGTCCTCAGGGCATGTGGTAATGGGTGTTGGTTTCATCTCAGCTCTCCAGAGCAGAAACTTTACTTCTTAAAGACCATGTGGCCCTTGACAAGTGACTCAGTCTCCCTGAGTTTCAGTTTCCTTGCTGGAAAAGGGTTTTGCAGCCACAGTGTTATTAAAGGGACTAAATTAATGAGCTTGTTACACTTCAGAAGAGCACCTGTCAGGCAGTAGCACTTGATAACTTTTGACCACTTTGCTCCTTCTCTGGAGGAGCCCAAATGAGGGTCTTGACTGGTGTTCCCCTTTCAGGGCTCATGTCTTTGCATAGGCCATCAGGGCCCCTGGCTGTCCTTCCTGTCAGTGTCTTATTGGCATCTGAGAACGTGGGCCCAGGCCTTGTCCTAGTTCCTCCCGGATGTTACCGAAACTTGAGGTGCCCAGAGCCTTGGGGACTGGCATGGGATATCCTGCTCCATCCAGAGGCACCTCCCAGTGACTCCCAGGCCCCACCCTGGGTTAGGTAGCACTCTTTTCTCCAAGCTCCAGCCCCGGCCCTGGCCAGTGCTCCAAGTTTGCTGGATGCTGAGAGGCTGTGCCTGCAGATGCTGGGCAAGACGCTCATAAGCCTGCAGGTCCAGGACAGCTCATTATCTCCTGTGGGGTGAGTACCTTCTGCTGCCCACTGTGCCTGATCTCGTTTTGAGGCCTGTCCAGTGTCAACTCTCCTTGTCTAGCTCAGGTACTGTAGTCCACTGGGTCTCCCCCATTCCCTCCTAGTACTGCCCAAGATCCCCACTGGACAGCCTGGGCCTCACTAGCATTGTCCTCACTGTTGAGCATTTCATGGCAGCCTGAGCTTTGCTCTGTGACTTAGGAAAAATCTCGTTTTCTCTTTTGGCACCCTGAAAAAGGGTGCTGGCCATCTTTCTTGCTAAAGCCTCTTCCAGTAAAACAAAGTCTCACTCATTTTTCTTACCTAGTTTCACCACATGTCCATTGAGCAACAGCCAGCAGGTCTGCATGTCTTTGGCTAAGGTTCTACCCTGTATTTCTTAGAGTCCTTAAGCACTGCATAGTTGTGTAACCTTGCCAAGCATGCCTTTGTGTGGGAGTGTCCTTGTGACACTTGGCCAGTTTGTGGTGCTAGGTTCTGTTCAAGAATCCTCTTTTAGGTCTTCCTTTTGCTTCTGTCCTCACCAAGCACCAAGCAAGAGGCTTCCCACACCCTAGGACTCTATCGGGTTCTTGGCAGAGGTGCCAGGAGTGGCTGCATTGTTCTCAGATGCATGGGAGCTAGCCAGGTGCAAGGCTGCCTCCCCAGAGCAGGGTGTTGGGCTGGGCTCCCCAGTCTTTGATTCTTGTGATTCTGTTCCCTGCAGGCCAGCAGCTGCTCGGAGTGCAAGTTGGAGCAGCTATGACCCGCTGGACATCCCTCAAGGCCCCCAGGCCACACAAATCTGGCTCTTGGAATCTGGCAGCCTCCCCCAGGCACCCGAGTACCCCAGCCCTGTCCACCTTCCCCTGGAGGGCCCAGGCACCTGGGACTGAGAGGCCTTCCCAGAATGATCCCCGGGTCCCCCAGCCCTGCCAACCTGCTGCCTCCTGGCCCAGGCAGAAGCAGCATCTACACTTACATCCTCGAGCCTCAGCTGTACAGACCCATGGTGAGGTGGTCAGCTGAAACATCTGTGGGGGAGGATGTCAAAGTGAGAAGAGGTGACCCTGTAGAGCCTGGGGTCCTATGTAGTAGAGACATGAGTGGTTTTGGGTCTTAGCTCTCCTGCTCCAAGCCTGTGTGTCTTGGGAGTTACTTCACCTCTCTGGACCTTCCAAGGCTGTTAGAAGAAGACTTGAGGGCCTTGGCTGTGTCTTGCCCCATGCCTGACAGGCTCTTTCTGTGGTTCTCAAGGGTCCATGGATGTCTCGTAACAGCCAGACTGCTATGTCTCATGGATAGACCCAGGGAGTACTTCCCGATCTGGGTGGTCTTGTGGTCTTCCATTCTTACCCATGCCTGGGTGGCCTGTCCCTCTTAGCTTCTGGTGTAGAAGTGTCCAGGAGCTGCTTTGCCTAGACAGGGTTGAATCCCAGCATTGATACCTGTATCTGGGGGCATTGGGCAAGTGTCTTCCTGTTCTGAGTCTCCATGTCTGAAAGATGGGGCAGACTCCCTGTTTCCCAAGAGTCCAAGGAGTGTGTAGGCAGCTTTGACTAGCATCCAGTCTGCCATGGGTGTCTGGCCATGTAGCACCTTCTTCTGGAGGTCCCATTGTCTTCCCAGTTATGTGGTGGTAGGTGATTGGGACTCGAAGACTCCATGTCAGGTTCCAAACTGTGGTGTGACTGGGTGGTTCTTGGGGTGCATGGCATCTCCATGATGAGGAGATACAGCATGTCTAGCTTATCAATATTCTGCCATACCAGTGGGCCTCTGTTTCCAGCCCAGTCAGGACATGCTAGAGTCCATGGGACCAGGCAGTGTTGTGACCCTTGGCTCAGCCTGTGTGGATCCTATGGGTCGGGGTGTGTGTGTGTGTGTGTGTGTGTGTGTGTGTGTGTGTGTGTGGGTGTGTGTGTGTGTGTGTGGGTGTGTGTGTGTGTGTGTGTGTGTGTGTGTGTGTGTGTGTGTGTAAAGCCTGACCGAGGTGTCAGTCTTCAGCAAGCCTGCTCTGGGAGGAGTGTGCATGTGCTAGGCTGGCTTAGAGCTGTGGGCTTCCTGTAGGGGTCAAAGGTGGTAATGAGGGCAGGTGGTACTTGTGAGGTCTGTGGTCCTGCAGTCCTCAGCAGATGGGGTTTCAACCCAGCTTCTGGGTTAAAATCAGGGCATCTTTAAGTGATTCTAGTCTGGGTGTCGACTCTAGGGTCACCCCCATATCATATTACTCCATGATAGAGAAGTCATGGCTGTGGCCTCTGGATACTGAGTGGGTGTGGTGGGCTTCAAGAGGATGGGCAGGGTGAGCGTGGGATGTCTGACATGATGAGGCCTGGGGCTTGGAAGACCTGTTCTAGGCCTGGGGTGAAATGGTGAGTGACATAAATGCCCTGCTGTTGAGAGCTGGTGGTCCTAGTGGGGACAACAGGACAGTGTCACGACTCATACAGTTGTTGCTATTGCTGTTCCACCTGAGGGTCTGTGCTAGGGTGTGCACATCAGGGCCAGCTGTGCAGTGTGCACATCTGGGTGGGTGTGTGGTGCTCCTAGGGCATAGAGAGGCTACAATGACAGCATTGGAGTCCAGTCTGAGGTACGGTGGCTGCTGGGGAGGGTGTGTGTGTGTGTGTGTGTGTGTGTGTGTGTGTATCCAGCTGGACAAGCAAGGCTGTGGGACTGCCTGTGCAGGCCTTGCAGATCCCAGGGGCCTTTGGCTTTGAGCAGAGGAAGTACAGGATTGGATTTGGTGCCTACAGGCTCCCTGTGGCTGCCATGGGTATGAGGGACGGGTGGTGGTGGAGGAGGCAGATGCATGGAGGCTGGAGAGGTGGCCCCTGCCTTGGTCTAGGCTGGAGGTGTCCAGAACTTTAGACTATGAGGGTGAGAAAAATATAAATATATTTTGAAAGCAGAGCCCTTGGTGTGGGAGTAAGAAGAGTTGAGAAGAATCCAAGGTTTTTGGCTGGAGCTACTGGGAGGCTGGGGAGACTGTTTTCCAAGTTGAGAAGGTGGATTGAGGAGCAGCCTTCAGGTGGGAGAGAAGACAGAGGCTCTGTGGTGGCTAAATGGGGGTTGTGTCTGCCAGTCACTGTCGTGGGCCCTGGATGCCTGCCCAGACAGACTTGCTGTCTTCTCTTTTGCAGGAGTGCCCCTGTCTGGAGCCAGCCTGGGGGCAGGCCAGGTTCCCCCAGACCCCGGGATGACTGCAGCCAGCCGGGCCAACCCCTACAGCATTGTGTCATCAGAGGAGGACGGGCTACACCTGGTTACCATGTCAGGTGCCAACGGTTTTGGCAACGGCAAGGTGCACACACGGCGCCGGTGCCGAAACCGATTCGTCAAGAAGAACGGCCAGTGCAACATTGAATTCGCCAACATGGATGAGAAGTCACAGCGCTACCTGGCTGACATGTTCACCACCTGCGTGGATATTCGCTGGCGCTACATGCTGCTCATCTTCTCGCTGGCTTTTCTTGCCTCTTGGCTGCTGTTTGGCATCATCTTCTGGGTTATTGCTGTTGCTCATGGAGACCTGGAGCCAGCTGAAGGCCGTGGCCGTACACCCTGTGTGCTGCAGGTCCATGGCTTCATGGCAGCCTTTCTCTTCTCCATTGAGACACAGACCACCATTGGCTATGGACTACGCTGTGTGACTGAGGAGTGCCCGGTGGCTGTCTTTATGGTGGTGGCACAGTCCATTGTGGGCTGCATCATTGACTCCTTCATGATTGGTGCCATCATGGCCAAGATGGCACGGCCCAAGAAGCGAGCACAGACTCTACTGTTCAGCCATAATGCTGTGGTGGCTCTGCGTGATGGCAAGCTCTGTCTCATGTGGCGCGTGGGCAACCTACGCAAGAGCCATATTGTAGAGGCCCATGTGCGGGCCCAGCTCATCAAGCCCAGGGTCACAGAAGAGGGTGAGTACATCCCCCTGGACCAGATTGACATCGATGTGGGCTTTGACAAGGGTCTGGACCGTATCTTCCTGGTGTCACCCATCACCATCTTGCATGAAATTGATGAGGCCAGCCCACTGTTTGGCATCAGCCGGCAGGACCTGGAGACAGATGACTTTGAGATTGTGGTAATCCTAGAAGGCATGGTAGAGGCCACAGCCATGACCACGCAGGCTCGCAGTTCCTACCTGGCCAATGAAATCCTGTGGGGCCACCGCTTTGAGCCAGTGCTCTTTGAAGAGAAGAATCAGTACAAGATCGACTACTCACACTTCCACAAGACCTATGAGGTGCCCTCTACACCCCGCTGTAGTGCCAAGGACCTGGTGGAGAACAAGTTCCTTCTGCCCAGTGCCAACTCCTTCTGCTATGAGAATGAACTGGCCTTCCTGAGCCGAGATGAGGAGGATGAGGTGGCCACAGACCAAGATGGCTGCAGTCGGGATGGCCTCAGCCCTCAGCCCCAGCATGACTTTGACAGGCTCCAGGCTAGTAGTGGTGCCCTTGAGCAGCGGCCCTACAGGCGGGAGTCAGAGATCTGAGTGCCCTTGGCTTAGGTGCAGCATCACCTTGACAGTGATAGGCCCCATGTCCCTTGGGGACCCGGGTTTGAGCAGAACAGGCCAGGTGCCTTGGGTCAGAGACTCAGTAGCGTTTTAGTCTTTCCACGTATCTTCGCAATAGCTTTGGGAGGTTGTCGGGAATGGGTGGCCAGAACGGGTGGCCTCTGGCCTCAGAGGCTGATGTATTCTCATGGGCAGGAAGGTGACTTCCCAGGGTTGGTGGCTAGCCAGGAGTCAGGGGCTCTGTTGAAGGCCCAGAAGCAGCCCAGTAGACCTGGGCAGTAGAAGGTTGTGTATGTACACCTTGTTGGTTTTTGGCTTGGACAAAACTGTTTACAAAAAACAAAAACAAAAAACAGAAAAAAAATTTTAACATGTGATTGAATTTTTAAAAATTCACGCGTGTTGGAACAGTTAGAATTCCACTGACCTGCTGCAACACAAGCAGCTGGATGGAATGTCCAAAAGATTCTCTGAGGTTTGGTCTCTCCCCCTTGTGTGCCAGGGTTCTATAATTAATCACGGTTAAGGATGAATCAGGCTGCTTGTGACCACGTTGACGATCCTAATAAAGTTTTTGGATGTCACTGGGGGTGGGGGCGTGCTGGGATAAATCTGACTTGATCTGTTCGCATTTGCTATTGTACCTCAGATGTGCATCAGGGCTGGGTTTCCCACCTGCCCTCCAGGGTCAATCCCCCTTCATGCTTCTGTCCTCCACCCTTTGCACAGTGAGGGGCAGTTGAAAACACCAGAGTGGGTGCTCCTTGGGAAGGGACACTCAGGAAATTAACATGGGGTCTGGTTCCGAACTCAGAGGAAGTGGGTCAGCCCCACCCCCACTGGACCCACAGCTTGAGTTGTGCCTTAGAGACTCTGGTTGTCTGGCTCCAGTTGTTTCTGGTTTTATCAGACTTGCTTGTTATCCTTCCACTGCTGAAGCCCCCTCTAGCCCCTCTGTCTGCCCTGGGAAGATGTAGAGGCTGCGGCCCATCTGCCTCACAGCTGTGTCCCTGTCTGACCCTCCTGCACACACCTGGGGCAGAATTGGGTAGCCCCGCTGGGCCTGGCTGCTGGTGGAAGGCAGAGTGTCTAGGAAAGGGGAGGAATCGTTACTCTTCATGAAGATGATCAGAGCAATGTCACAGAACAAAGAATTCCTGCTTAGCTGTCAGAGGCCTGTGGTGGGTCTTCTCCCTGAGGCCTTGAGCCCTGGAGTCTTCCCCCATGCCTAGTGCCCAATCAGGAGGCCCTGAGCTGGCCTTGCTTAAGATTCCATGCTAATTTCTAGCTTGGAAGATTCAGCCCAGAACCTGCTGCAGGAGCCTTAGCTCATTTGTGTTTTTGGCCTGGCCTGTGCCCCAAAGAAGTTTGATTGGCTTTTCCAGCCTTGGCTCTGGGGCCTGAGGGTGCATTCAACATGGGGGTGCTTGGCTCTTACCTCTGCCCAATCTTCAGGTTGAGGGTTGGGGAGGTAAAAGGGTGAATCTTAGCCAGTGGGTGCCACTTCGGGAACCTGGGCTCCTGTCACTCTTACTGAGTCGGTGGGTCTGCATTTGACTCCCAGAGCAGGGTCCAGGGCTCCTGGTCCCCAAGGCCTGCTCCCAGCCCATCTCAGTGGCCTAAAGTATTTGTCACTCTGGCCCATCCTCCTCCCAGGTCCATGCCTGCCAGAACAGTTCAGTCCCCAGGCCCTGCTGGAGAGCAGCTCAAACTGCTTTTCATCTCTGCCAAAGGCAGGCAGATGCTATACTTTCAAGTTCTTGTGCCCTCCTTTTTCTCCTTCCCTGTATTTATTTATTGCTTGTGCTAAAGACCAAACTAGCCCCTCTCTTTATAGTGCACCTAATCGGGGGGGCACTGAGTGGGGAGCCATGTGCCTGTGCCAAGCAGGAAAGCTTGGCTCCTGGGGAGTGTGTGGGGAAGGGAAGCCAGGATGTGTATGCATGCCTGTACAGATGTACACACATGATTATCTCCCTGTGTGTGGCACTTGGTATCCAGACACATGATGTATTCAGTTATTTGTATACAGGTGGTCTGTGTATATCTACCCACAGGTGTACATGTGGTTGTTTTTTATTGGGGGTGGGATGGTGCTCACCAACCTGAGCTGGTCAGGTTGGATGTTGGCCACAGACATAGTCATAATTCAACCTGAGTCCCTGCCCTGCTCTGGTTATATAGGCTGTGCCCAGGTGTGCAACAGTTTGAGGAATCTGATGGTCATGGGTACATCTGTGCATGTGAACATGTGTGAATGTGTGTGTGGGTCCCAGGGTGTGTGTATGTGAATGTCAGTGGAGTGGATGCTGTGCACAGCATATGAAAGCTGCACAGAACTCAGTGGCTGCCCTGAGCCCATGCTGGTGCTGTGCCACCTGGTCCTTGCCCAGCCAAGGGCCTGGGGGGCAGAAGGACACACCATAGGGAAGCCCCTGCATGGGTGTCTGCCCTGTGTGAGGTCATAGAATGTCAAATCTATTTTAAATGGTGAAACCGGAGAATTTTAATGTTATTTTCATTACATAGCAGTATCTAAAGATGTAGGCAACAAGACTAGACCACATTAAATGCATTTTGATCTCTTTGAATGTCACTGTGTCGAGATGTGTCTCATTGTTCTCTGCCTGGCTCTGCCACGTGCTGCTGAGCATTCACACTTCCTCAGGCCACTGCAGGCTGGAACATGGGGCTCCCTGGGGCTTGTTTTCAGGGGCAGAGTAGGATATGGCAGCAGCATTGCTGTTGATAGGCAGAACATAGCCTCCTCTCAGACCCCATAATGGTCTTTCAGCCTTTCCTGTGGACACTCCCCACCCCTTCCACACACTGCCTCTGCCTCATCCTCTGGCCTGCCCTCCTTCCTTCCATACAGGAGCACTGAGCATCTACTCCTACCAGCGTGTTCAGGATCCTCCCAGGGCCCCTTTGGATGGAAAAGGCCTAGCCCTGAGATGGACAACCCAATCCTCTATTCTCTCTGCAAGACAGGAGAAAGGGCTAAGGGCTGAAAGAAACCTTCAACCCAAGTCATACTGGTAATATGATGAGGCCAGGTGAGGCTGGAGTGGAGGACAGAAGACAGAGAAATACTGTTAGTAGGATGAGGCCAGTGGATTTTCTTGAAACAGCTTTCATTGTGTCAAGGGCTCAGACTCTGGGTTCTCCATTGCCACGGCTTGTGCAGAAGGACTTCCTTCCTTTGTCCAAACTGCTTCCATGAGTGGATACATCTTCAACCCTCTGATCTAGCACAAAATCCAGGGTGCCACATTCTGTAGATTTAGATGGTTCCTGATGAACAAATAAAGAACCCCTGTCATTCTGAGGAATGGCAATGTGTTCTCTAGCCCTTGGTATAGTGATCTAGGGGTACTCTTCCCTCTAGTGGGGCTTGGAGGAGGTGGGGCCCTGGAGCTGCTGGCTTGGTCTGGTGAGGCATATAGCCTGCTGGGATTCCACCACCAGGATCTAAACCAGTTGGGAACAGAGTGTTATGACCTCATTCTTTGTACCCAGGACTTCCACATAGTACTGACTAGCGGGCCTGGGCCCTGTGAGTGTGCTTTACAATTGGTCCCAGTTACAACATGCTGCTTGTGTTTTGTATGCCCTGAGTTCACAGTTTCTTAGCAGCCCCTCTCTTGGCTGTGTTGATACCCTGAAGTGCCCTAGGCCAGATTCTAGGCCACTTGATTGCTAGGGGACCCTTCTATCCTCAGTCCCTCCATCAGTGAAGAGGGTATTGTTAATGGCTAGTTTGCAGGCAGGCTGAAGGCGTGGGAGGTAGAAAGAACCACTGCTTAGTGCTAAGTGCCTTGGTGCATACTGAGGCCTGTGCTCAGTACTCTTGAGGACAGGTGCAACAACTGTATCTGAAGGTTGTGGCCAGGTGACAGCCAGCCCACTTCCCTGTACTGCTTCCTCAGGGATGAACTGAGCCTCCTTGGAATTCACATTCAGACAGGTGGGACAGCAGTGGGTGGAGCTCCATCCTGAGGGCAACAGAGTGCCTGCGAAGTGGAGTGCCTGGAAGCCACTATTGATCCCAGATATACCCTGGCAGGCCAGTCAAGAGGCATTATTACTCTGTACTAGAAGTTTGTTGAGGGGATTAAGGACTTGCTCAAGTTCATTGGAGGGCAGTTATTTGAACTGGGATCTAGCTAAGCCTCAAGCCCAAGTCATCTTCATGTTGGGTCAGTTAACCCAGATGCTCCACACTTGCCTGTTGATGGTCAGGGCAGTAGCCAACGTCTCTGTCAGGAAAGGAACAGGCTGGTGGCGGGGTCACCCTAGACTCATCCTTTTTTTTTTTTTTTATCTTCAGAAAACAATTTCCTATGGTGGAGGCCCCTGGACTTGAGGGAACTGTGCATGGGTATTTCCTCAGCATGAAAGGCCACATCAGAGCTGCCTATTTATTCCTCAGTAACAAGGGGGCTTTCAAGGACATACCCCATTCTACTGCAGTCCACCCTCTGCCCAGTGCCAGCATGGCCTTAGAATTAAGCTTTGTAACCCCCTGCCTGAAGCCCTTCCTGGCTTCCTGTCAGACTGAATATAAAGTCTCAATTGGTCCCAGCTGTCCTGTCCTGCCTAGCCCCTGCCCGGTCCCTGTTCAGCTCTCCCTCCTTCCTTTCTGGTCATATTTCCCCCATTTGAAGACCTTTCCATGAGCTGTTTCCTTCTTGAATCTCTTTTTTTTCAAATGTTTACAATTTGTGTGTGTGTGTGTGTGTGTGTGCGTGTGTGTGTGTGTGTGTGTGTGTGTGTGTGTGTGTGTGTGTGTGTGTGTGTGTGTGTGTGTGTGTGTGTGTGTACATGCACTTGCCATTGCACATGTGTGGAGGACAATTTCCAGGAATCAGTTCTCTCCTTCCATCCTGTGGATTCTGGAGATCAAGCTCAGGTCATCAGGGTTGGTGGGAAGTGCTGTTACCTGCTGAGCCATTTCATTGGCCCCCTTCTCAGATACTGGCAGGTGATGTTTCTCATTCTGAGTGAGTGTGAGAAGCAGCAGGGTCTCCCTCTTTAGCAGCTCCTTTCAGCTGCCATTCCACCATGTTTCTGGTGAAATTGAGGTTTACTCTTTTGGGTTCTTAGTGTTAGAAATAAAATCAGAGGTCCAAGAATCCCACCAGCACCATACAAAGAACACATGGACAAAGCGAAAGTAAGGTAACTTTTGCAAAAAGGTGCATTGTATTGTTCAGATCGATCAAGCACACCTTACCTGGCCGTTTGATAGGTGTTTATTCTATCAAAGAGCACTGTGACTTTTTCCTTATTGGCTGGAGGAAGTAGCTTTGCCTTAATGGACTTCAAGTCCAAATGGATCCACCTTTTCCTGTGGTAATTTAAATCCTAAAGAGTGGCAACACTGATGTTTACCTTATTAGTGTTACCAGGGAAATGGGAGATGGGGCCTAAAGTGGCCCATGAGGGAAGGTTCATCCTCAGTGGTCTCCAAGGCTGATAATGCCTATAATGCCTAGGCTTGTTCACTGTCTGTCATTCCCAGGGCTATGAGGTTGGCTATGACAGGGACTGTTGTCTCTTGGTCTTCCTGGGACACTAGGACCAGGAATGGACACAGTGCATCTTTATGTATGTGTATGAGAATAGGTGGAGCATGGGGCCTTCAGGCATACCATCTACAGAGAAGACTCTGCAGCACCCCCCCACCCCCCGCATAGGCCCAGCCTTGACAACCTGGCCACAGCTACCCAGAGGAGGGAATGGCCTCGGCTAAGGCCAGAGGTGGCTGGAACCTGAAGGCAGGGCCAGATGGCAGGATCGGGGTGGGATGGGTGAGCTTCGTGTTATGGGGAATTTGGGCCAAGAAAGGCTCTAGGCTCTCAACCTATTCTCATCTTTACAAAGAAAATGCAGTAGGAGCTCATTCAAGACTGGCTAGGACCCAGAAACCTAGATTCCGGGCTCTGCCCTGTAGTGTTTTGTACTTGCCACCTCTGGGCACCATTCTTTCTATACAAGAAGTGTGAGCTCTGTTCACCCTTTTCATGCGTGTTTATAAGCTGCCACTGTGTCCTGAGAAGCCAGCCAGACCTTGCTCTGCTGTCCAGAGCTTTCAGTTCACAGAGCCTAGGGGACAGCTGCTGAGGTAGGCTCCTGGTCCAAGTCCCCTAGAAGTGAGGATTTGGATTGTGCAGGGCAATAAGAGAGGCCTCCAAGGAAGGGCAATAGAGACAGTGCCAGGAGGAAGATGCTAGGGAGGGTGTGTGTCCAGCTGCATCCAGCTGCAGTCCAACTTAACAGATCTTTTCTGGAATGTGAAAACCATGTGGGAGCCATCTCATCTTCAGGCAGTTCACTGGGGTTTGCAGTCCTCAGAATCAGCCCTTGGCTGAGGCTACTCAAAGAATGCTGTTTCAAAGCTTGGTGGCTTCTATCCATCCAGGGTGATTCTTCTGAGAAGGGCAGCTGGGGGCATGTGTACCTCAATGAGGTGGCTGTAGGCAGAGCACTGGCCAGAGTAGCACAGTACGCTGTGACCCCAGGTTAGAGTGGAACACTTGCAGGGTCTTGGAGCATAGACTGGGAGGCCTAGCTGGTTGGAGAACCAAGGTGGGCTTCTCCAGGACAGCAACACTTCCTCTGAGGTCTGAGGGTTGAGCAGATGTTTGCAAGGTGCATGGGGAGGGGTTCGCTAGGAAAAGGTTGTGGCACAAAGGAATAAGAGTAAAAGGAGCTGTTGCTGGACTGAGGGCAGGTCACAAAGAACCCAAAGGGCCCCATTCAATGCCCTGGGGGCACCCCACAAGACCCTATGGACACCATACAGGACTCCGTGGGTACCACACAGGACTGCATGAATACCACACAGGTTCCCAAGAGCACCACATGTATGTACCATAGAGGATCCCCATGGATCCACTCAGGACCCCAAAGACACCAAGCAGGGCCCAGACTTTACTCCTACTAGTCAGTGTCTCTTAGGCCTCCACATAGCACAGTGGCTTCTCCGAGAGCAGGAACTTGTATTCTTCCTTGTAGTGGGTGTGTCTCGTGACTCAGAAGAATGAGGTCCATTTACCTAGAAGGCGCCTAATAAATCCTGTCTGCTCCAAGGAAATATAAAAGAACCATAGGACAGAAGTGGGCCATTGTCCCCAGCTGGATGGGAGATGAACACCAGTGATGGGTGCAGGGAGGGTGAGCCCTTTTAGAGGGCTAGAGGGCTTTTGTGAAGCCGGTAGCTAGAGCTACTGGGGACCAGGTTGCATGGTAAATGCTAGACCCAGTTTAGGAATACAGTGCCTGAAAGCTTGTAACATGCCCTGTGCCCTGTGTCATTTTAGAAAGAGCATTTTGAAGGACATAACATAGAGTACATGGAAGGAAACCATTCTGTTGCCCATTCAGGGCATGGAAATGATTTCTGCTCTGTGTTGCTGTCACTGCATGTCTTGGTGCCCCCAGCCCTGTGAGTGAATGCTCCCTGCCTCAGTCTTCCCTCTGTGAAATGGAGCTGATGATCAGAGCACAACATGTGAGGACCACGTAAGTGACCTGTTTTGATCCAAAGAGACTGCTTGTAACAGCACCAGTACCCAGAGGACTTGGT